GATGCTGGTTTGGGGTCGGGCTATGGGATGTGGGTCTGGGATGCTGGTTTGGGGTCGGGCTATGGGATGTGGGTCTGGGATGCTGGTTTGGGGTTAGGATATGGGATGTGGGTCTGGGATGCTGGTTTGGGGTCGGGATATGGGATGTGGCTCTGGGATGCTGGTTTGGGGTCGGGCTATGGGGTGTGGCTCTGGGCTGGGGCTCTGTGCATGGCAGCGTGCTGACGCTGTGTTCTGTCCCACGCAGGGAGGACGGCGGCTGGTGGCGGAGCTGGCTCCAGCAGAGCTACCAGGCTGTCAAGGAGAAGGTGGGAACCTCTGGGAACATCTGGGAACCTCTGGGAGCCTCCAGGACCGCAGTCCCGGGAGCCCAGCGAGGCTCCTCCACAGCCCCAGAGGGTCTCCCCAGAGTGGGGTTGGGATGGGTTTTTTGGGGATTGATGGGCTGAAGTGGCTTGTGTGATTTTAGAAGGTAAATGAATGTTTATTCAAAAGCACTTCTCTTATAGAGAACGTCGTGAACATTAATTTCATTGGTCTTAAAGTAAAAACATTTTACTTGATCGGTACACTTAGGTTAGTGTGGTAGAACATGCTTACAAATAATATGAATGGGAAGCAAGATAATAGATTGTTTATATTTCTGTTGGGGTTTTTCTCAGGCTTAGCCTGGTAGAAATCTTTCTCCTTTTCTCTCTGACTGGACTGAGAATATCCACAGGGGCTCTCATGGCTGAGTGAGCACTGGGTCATGCTGGGCTATGCCGTGTGGAAATCACCCCCTGAGCAGGGGTTGTGTTCCCAGCATGGCTTTGTGGTGTGCAACTTCCTGCCTGTGACAGCACTGCTTGTGTTAATTACACACAAAACCTAAAGCCAGGCTTTTCCCAGCCTGTGTTTTTTCCAGTCGTGGCTTCAAAACCTCCTGGAATGCGTTTTGGGCATAGCAGGTGCTGTTGTTGTTCAGGTTATTCTGGTCTTACGCATTGCCCAGGCTCGGGGGGAGGGCTCAGCTGGGCTAAACTCTCACAGCTGAGTTTTTGTAACGTGCTGGGAGCCATGCCAGCTTTGCTGGGGAAGCAAAAGCCTGGAGAATCCATGTGCTGTCTCCTTGCAGTCCACAGAGGCTTTGGAGTTCATGAAGAGGGACCTGGCTGAGTTCACCCAGGTGGTGCAGCACGACACCGCCTGCACCATCGCCGCCACGGCCAGCGTGGTCAAGGACAAGCTGGCAGTGAGTAGGGGCTGGGAGAGCTTCCACACCATCCACTGCCACCCCTGCCACCATCCCACGCTGCTCCAGGCCCCCTCCAGCCCCACCTGGCATCATTCCAGGGATGGGACAGCCACAGCTTCTCTGGGAATTCCATCCCAGCACTCTCACAGGGGAGAATTCCTTCTCAATATCCCATCTAGCCCCACCTTCCTTCAGCTCTCCCTTGCTCTGTGGAGCACAGGAGGGTGCCTGTGGTTCCCTCTCCAGTGTGCTGAGCAGGGGGGACACTGGCAGTGCCACTGTAGGGTGACACGGGCTCTCCACACCAGCAGGGACAGCCCCACCCAAGAGCAGGCAGCCCCCAACCTGGCTGTGTTTTCCCTCAAAGCCTCAGTTTCCCCTCTGAGGCAGGTGCCTCCCACCACTTCCCTGAAGGGGCAGATCCTGCTCCCTTCAGGGCCCTGCCCAGAAATCCTGGGATGTTTCTGACACTGTGCTGCCTCTCCCCTTGAAGAGGGCAGAAGGCTCAGGTGCCACAGAGAAGGTGAGGAAGGGCCTGTCTGACTTCCTGGGGGTCATCTCGGACACTTTTGCTCCTTCTCCTGACAAAACCATCGACTGCGACGTTATCACCCTGATGGCGACGCCCTCGGGCACCACCGAGCCCTACGACAGTGCCAAGGTCAGTGTCCCTGCCTGGCATGTGGCACCCTGAGCCTGCTGCTCTGTCCCTGCTGCTGTCCCTCCCCTGACACTGTCCCCGTGTGTCTCCTCCAGGCTCGTCTCTACAGCCTCCAGTCCGACCCAGCCACCTACTGCAACGAGCCCGACGGTATGGGGGGGCTCAGGGGGTGCAGGTGCTGCCCCGAGGGGGTCTGGGGGACAGCTGGAATTCCCTGAATTAGGTCTGCAGGGCTGGCTGGGCTGTAGCTGGGGCCAGCTGTGAAGAGCAGAGCTGACTCTAACCTCAAGGATCAGCTTAGCTTGAATTTACTGGCCCAATTGAAATTGGTGGCCTTGGGCTGGCAGAGGGGTTCAGAGCTCTGTATTGTCACTATTGGACATGAAATGGGTACACAGGAGCTTGGTGAGGAGGTCTTGGTCTTTCAAGAGAGAAAAAAGAGACAATTTTATTATTTTATTATAGAATTCCAAAAGTGACAGTGGATTGGAGGATGAAATTGCCACCTCTCCAGCCACACTGGTCAAACCAACAGCCCATCAATTCTCTCCTCCCACAAAGAATGTAAAACAATCATTATTTACATGAACAGCACGTGAGAACTCCAGTAGAAATATGTAAACATTATCAAAAGGCTAAAGAATTTTGATGAGAACTTTAAAACTTTCAAAAGAACTGTAAAAGAAAACGCTTTTAAAAATCAGAGCAACACTGTATCTCCCTCCTCCTTTGCCCCAGCATCTCTGCAATGGAACTTCCCCAAATTCAAGGCCTGTTATCCCTGTGCTTGTCCCAAACAGGCCCTGCTGAGCTGCTGGAGGCCTGGCTGGCTCAGTTCAACCTGGAGGAGAAGAAAGGGGAGATTGCAGAGCTGCTGGCAACCAGCCCTTCCATCCGGGCACTCTACACCAAAATGGTGAGCCCTGCCTGGGCAGTTCCTGACCTGGGGAATGCTGCAGGAGAGCCCTGAGCTCTTTGTCCCCTGCAGCTGGAATGGAAACTATGGAAAAATAGTTTGCAATGAGGAAATGGTTGCAGTAAAAAGGGAGCTGCTTTAGGAGGAGAGAGGGGCACGGCAGCAGCTGCAGCTCTCCCTCTGAGGGGTTCATCCCTTTCCCTGATCCCTTTCTCCCAGGTCCCTGTGGCTGTTTCCCACTTGGAGTTTTGGCAGCGCTACTTCTACAAATTGCATCGCCTGGAGCAGGTGGGTCAGGCTGGGGGGGTCCCTGGGGGCTTTTCCTGGGAAAACAGGGAATTGGGCTGACCCTTGGAGCCAGTGCTGCTGAAATGCCCGGGGCAGGAAAGGGATGGTGACAGAGCCCAACCTGGTTCAAGGGCTCCGTGGGAGGAAAAATCCTTCCAAGCTGAGCTTCCACAGAAAGGCTCAGCAGTCTCTGTTGTTCAGTCTCAAGGTAGTTTATTGCAAATTATCTAAAAGATTTTCTTCTGGGGCTGCTGTGGTTTGCTCACAGCTCAGGCAGAGGCACACACACACCCTGACATCCTC